ACAGGAATAGCTGCATGAGCCTCTAGGTGGGAGGAAGGCAGCAGGGATATGAAGACAGGGGCACTGTCTGGGGAACAGGAGCCACAGGACCTCAGGCCCCAGCTGTTACTCACCACCTACAGAAACACAAAGCACCTAATGGCAAGCTTTGGTTTCCTCATTTGCAAAACAGCAGGACTGATCTAGACCATGCCCATGATGGCTGGCAGAAGAGACTATGCTTGAAGGTCATCTGGGAGGCAGATTGCTTAGCTGCCACCACCCAGGCCTCTCAGATGACTCTGACGGGCACTCCCTGACACCACGCTACCAATAGAACCTGCCTCGTGACTTCTAAGGATTCTAGAGGTTCTACAAAAGCCCTGAGAAATGGTCAACTGCCTACAGCAAAGGCATGCACAAAAAAGTACAAACTGGGTGAGAGTGAGAGTGCCTGTTCCCCAGCTGAGAGTGTCTGTCCCTGGGGCTGGCACCAAGGAGGGGATGGAGAACAGTGGGAGCTGTGCCTCCAGACCCTTCTGCTCATAACTGCCAACAGCTCACGTGGGATTATCTAACCTCCCTCAAGTGGCCAGGCTCATACCACCTTGGACATTGGAATGAATGCCTCCCACTGGAATGGTGCTTTAGATGACATCTTCACAACATCATTTTATTAACATTTGATCTTCCCCCAAACTCTGTCATGTTGGAGACCAAGATTCACCAAGGTTAAGTGTCTTAGTGACAGGTAGGATGGAGAACACTCAGTCCAGGACACATGTACCATAACATTTTTAACATTTTCCCAATTTTTAAAATGAATATAATTTATATTAAAAATTTAGAAAAATAGCAGGTTAAAAAACGCTGCCACTGGCCAGGCACCATAGCTCACGCCTGCAAACCCAGCACTCTGGGAGGCTGAGGCAGGTGGATTGCTTGAGCTCAGGAGTTTGAGACCAGCCTGAGCAAGAGCAAGACCCCATCTTTACTAAAAATAGAAAAATTAGCTAGGTTTTCTGGCAGGCGCCAGTAGCCCTAGCTACTCAGGAGGCTGAGGCAAGAGGATCGCTTGAGCCCACTTTGCTAGCTCAACTGTGAGGTTGCTGTGAGCTAAGATGCTACAGTTATGGCAGCCAGAGTGGGAAAAAAAAAAAGCTACCAAGGCAGCGCCTGTGGCTCAAAGGAGTAGGGTGCTGGCCCCCAGATACCGGAGGTGATGGGTTCAAACCTGGCCCCAGCCAAAAACTGCAAAAAAAAAAAAAAAAAATTGCTACCATCTGAGATATATCCAAATTGTACTGTGGTTATGCCAGCAATCTCTTTCCTACCCCACCCATAGTTTTTGTTCAATATTCTAGAACTCTGAAGCACCAGGGAGCGCTCCAGTTCTTGCTCAGAAGCTCTGAATAAGTCAGTCTTGACTCTTGACACTCTGTGTGGCATAAGAGATGTGAGCACAAACCCAGTCTCCAGGGGAGGGTAGGTGTCCCCACAGCAGCCCCGACTCACGTCAGCTTACTCTTGGCCTCCGTCTCCTTGGGGAAGGGGTACTTCCACTTGGTGATGCGCCCCACCTCCCCCGACATGAAGGTCAGGTAGCGCAAGGTTTCCACGGCGACGTTGATGTGCATCACCTTCCGCAGACCCTCCCGCTGCCAGACGTAGAAAGCCACCACAGGGGAGGCATAGTTTTGGATCCACAGGACGTCCCCGGATTCACTGTCCACAGTAACCACCAGCCCATCGCCATTGGACACAAAGTGGGACATCTCTGCACAAATCAAACAAACAAAGCATGATGAGTCTCACGCCAACACGCAACCACATCCTCTACCTTCCCAGCAAGCTGCAGTCACTCAGCTAGAGGACACAGACTTCCTGAGTACTCCCAGGTCTCCTGTGAACAATCTCACTGCTTCCAGTGAACTCATTCAGGCTCTATAGTATCAAGATGCTGTGGGCTGCCTGGCTTCTAAACGCAAGACAAGATCACTCTCCAAAGGCAGTTTATTTGGTGATGTTCTATTCAATAAATAACAACAAATATTGAGAAGAAAAGAACCAATGGAGGCCCAGTAATTTCATGGCAACCGTTTAAAGTCCATCCATCAAGCTGAAAGTCAGGTCTAAACCACTGACACTGCCCCCATCAGACTCACAGAGGATGCTTCAGAAACAAACAAAACTGTTCTGGGTCCTGGACTGGAAAAGGCAGAGAGTCAGACTTTCAGATACCAACCTTAGGATGCCAAAATTGGTTTTTAGTTTTCATTTGTGCCAGGGGGATTTTAACTAGAGAAATAACAAGGGGATGAGCCTCGTTTGGAAAGTGGCCCTCTTGATGAGGCTGTTAACGTCATATGCTAATTCTTAGTTCCACTTTCCACGGGTTTGTAGGAAAGTCCTTCTGTGACAAAGAGGTCTCAACAATCCTCCCTCCTCTCTAGCTGATTCACCCCCATTTTAGATGATATTTTCACGACATCATTTTATCAACATTTGATCTTATTTGATCTTTCACAGAACTCTGAAATGTTAAAGACCAAGGCTCACCAAGGTTCAGTGTCTTAGTGATAGGTAGGGATGGAGAACACTCAGTCCTGGACACATGTACCATAACATTTTAAACATTTTTCCATATTATAAAATGAATATAATTATAATAAAAATTTAGAAAAATAGCAGGTTAAGAAAGCTACTCCAGACTTCTCACTCAGGGCCATGCCCATGGGAAGTCTAGAACTTGGTGATGGAGAGTGTTAAAAAGAAAATCCTACTTTCTGGAGCAAATGTGTCCACACAGGTCAAAAGTACCAGCCCAACCAGTGTAACCTGAGCAGGAGCACTCACTATAGTCCATGTCGTCATCAGGCAGCGAGGCTGCGTAGTCAAAGTAGGTGGCGTTCCACCGGAGCTCCCGGGTTTTGGTGTCGTACATGGTGATGGTATATTCTGGAGAACACAGACCAGCCCATTACCATGGAGGGGCCACTGAACGTACTGAGGCATGGACCTTATCTAATTGCAGCAAACACATCCTCTCTAAACTAAACATCAAAAAGCCCAGACTACCCTTTTGGAAAGAGAAAGGCAATGTGGAAGAAAACTGAAGTTCCAGAAACATGAGTGAACACGCTGATGGCATGTGAAACAGAGACTAGCCACTACCGCTGTGCCCTTGAACTCATGGCTTACAGAACTGTGAGCAACAGAACAGCTGTTGGCCATTAAGCTTTGGGTTGGTTTCTTGTATAGCTGTGAATGCCCAATATTAGAAATTGGCATCTGTGAGTAGGATGGCCCCATAACAAAGCCCTAAAACACATGGCATTGACTTTGGGACCAGTGGATAGATAGAGGCTAGAAGGCCCAATCAGACACCTATTAGGGAAAACTTGGAAGTGGAAAGGGGTGAGCCAGCTCAGGAGCCCACGTGGGTGACCTAATTAGTATAACTACTGCTTGTTATAATTTGGTAGACAGAAAAAGTAGCTAATCAAAAGATTCTCAACATAAAACATGGCCTTAGGTCAAATATCAAATCCAGGGTACTATCAGCAAAAAATGGTCTCAAGATCAAGTCAAGGTGAGACTGTAAGACCCTTCTCTGAGGCCCATATTCTAAAGTAGAGAATCCTGCCAGTATGGCTTTTATCTAACATAGTAGTCTACAATTTGACACATGGGAAGTCCACAGAGTTTTTAAAAAAAATGTTATCAGAATGGTCTAAAAAGATCAGAGACAGTCAAAATGAAAAACATGGTTTCTAGATCCCCAATTTTCAATGGACAAGAAACAGATTGAGAAAGCTACAAAATCAGTCATTTCTAGGACCTCTCAGAGGGCAGAACCCAGAGCCACTGAGCATAATGTATCAGCAAACCAATCACACAGAGTAAAAGTAGAGGCTTAAGGAAGGAACATTCTCTGTGCCCAGAATAGGGAGACCTGAAAGTATATGCCTGGCTGAATTATTAAGGACCAGTGTGTCCGTCTCTCCTTCTCTTTTTGGATGGGGATGTTCACTGCAGCTGTCTGCCTCTGCCTCACCACTGTATGTTGGATAGTTGGGGAAGAGAAAGAACATGTCCGTTTAATTCACAAGTCTCCAGATCAAGAGGAGCTGAGTGTGAGGTGCCTCATCTACCCTCAAACCAGATGCAGATCACAAGATGCTGGACTTGGAGACTGATGCTGCAACTGGACATTGGGAGTCTTGGGAATGCATTCTGCAAGTGGGAAGGCTGTAAGCTACTGCAGCCAGAGGCAGGACGTCTGGAAAGATCATGGTCAACAACTCTTCCCATCCCTGTAGTATGCACATCACTCTTCCCATCAAGAGTTCTCCACCCTGGATTCTGGGCTGACCTTATGACTTGCTTTGACCAACAGACTGCAGTAGAAGTAAGGTTCTGCGACTTCTGTATCCAGACCTTTTGAGACACCGTAACACCCACTTTTGCCAGGAGGAAGCCCAGCTGCCATGTCAAGAGTTGCAGGCTGTGTGGAGAGAGGTCTCAGGGAGGTGAACTGAGGTCCCAGATATGAGTGAGCCCAGTGAACAGCATGCAGGGTGGACATGATCCGCCCTTGCCGAGCCCTTCCTGGATTCCTTCCCCATGGAATCATGAGCAACAAAATGGTGGTTGTTTTAAGGCACTAAGTTGAGGTGGTTTGTTACCAGCAGTGGATAATGGAAACAATGGATTTACACACCTGTGTACACACATTCTGCCCATGCCAGGGCATACACCAACACCCTCCAACACCACAATTCCACTGAGAACCACACAATTTTTATACCTGGGAATCACTGTAAGGTTTCACTTGACGGAAAAGAAAAACAAACAAATCCTAGGCTGGCACTAGACTTGGGAGCTGGAATACTTGATTTTTATAGGGGGAGGATGGAGAATCCTGTAACCTAGGACCTTCCTCAATTCTGGGGAAACCCAGCCAGCTTCAACAAACCCAGGATTAGTCCTACTGATTGTCAGAAAGGCACTGTTTTCCTGAGTACTTGAAGGAAGGTTCTGTCTCTTTTTTCAAAGTCTTGGCTATGTGTATGTTTAGATCTAAATTTAGTGCTCAACTGTAATGAATTCATCCTAGGATTTTGGTGTAATTTTTTGCCTTCTAAATGTTTTCTTGTTTCTCTTTTTAGCTTTAACTATAACTATCATTCAACAATTTTTATGGCATCCCTGATATATGTGAGGTGCTGCACATATAAAAATAAGTGAGGCAGACAGATCACTGCAGTAACGGGGCTCCCCCTCCCACACACACACAGGAGTCTGGGCACTGCTAGGTGTCTGCCCATATGTTCTGTCTGGAGCTACGGCAGGTGAACAAAACAAAGTCTTGCCCTCAGGGAAGTGATATTCTAATGGGGGAGGCAGAAAATTGGCATATAAAATTTATAAATGTGCAGTGACAAGTGTTAAGAAAAAGGCTGATACGAGAGGAAACAGAAAATGACGTGGCAAAGAGGGTGCTAACTATGCCTAAAAAGGGACAATGATGGGCAAAGAGATGGTAGCTAGGACAGGCCTGTAAACTGCCACTAGTGCTCCCAGAACGGGAGAGCAGCATCCCTGGGTAGGGCAGGAGCTGGGGCAGGAGAAGAGGTCTCACCAAGATGACTTAGGAGCAAAGTTACGCAAGGAGAGGAGACATTCACCAGGCAGGCAACAATAGGCATACCTGGTGGAGAGGGATATACCACTGCAAGTCTTTAAAAATAGCACTGCTATTCTGAACTGTAGGTAGTTCCCAGGACTGGGAAACGTTTAAATGAGGGAAACCAGAGTGGGAGGAGGTGAGGGGAGTGGCAGCTACACTAAAGGGTGTTGTGTGTTGGGGCCAGGTTGGGCTGTATCCCTTGAGCTATGGGGGCCAATTAACAGACTTATGAAGGGGAATGAAGGGATCGGAGAAGGCAGCTCCAGCCTCCTCCTGGCTAATCAGGAGGGGAGGCAGAGATGGGGGTGGGAGGAGCTTTTTCAGATCTTTTCTGGAGGCAGATGGACTGTACAAGACAAATGTGTGTTTCTCACCTGTTCGCCCAAGATACAGAAGAGAGGTTGATGGGCACAGACTGTCTGCAAAGGCGGATGACAAAGTCTGCTGCTTCTCCCCAGTGAGAAGGTCAATAACATACCAGATGTCTTGCTTTTTACCTGAAAGGTCACAAGGACACACTGTTGTTTACACAAGTCCTATATGGAAAAAAAAAATCACTGCCAAACTCACAGCCCAAGATCTTCTCTGTGCTGGGAGAGACTGGCCCCAAATTCTCAGGATGTCAAGGACATTTCTATGATGATCTGCAGGTGACAACGCAAATGGTGATGCCTCTTTGGTCACTGGATCTTTTAATAATTTAATAACCTAATCATGGTATAAAAATTTCTCCAAACCTAGTAACATAATTATAGTAAAAAAATAAAAAGTTTTCCTTGGGCGGTGTCTGTGGCTCAGTGAGTAGGGCACTGGCCCCATATACGGAGGGTGGCGGGTTTGAACCTGGCCCCAGCCAAACTGCAACAAAAAAATTGCAGGGTGCTGTGGCGGGCGCCTGTAGTCCCAGCTATTCTGGAGGCTGAGGCAAGAGAATTGCCTAAGTCCAAGAGCTAGACATTGCTGTGAGCTGTGACACCACAGCACTCTATTGAGGGCGACAAAGTGAGATTCTGTCTCTAAAAAATAAATAAATAAAAAGTTTTCCAAACTTTCAAATTAAGATTTTATTGCTTTGATTAATGGCCTTAAATATGAAAACTCTTTCCCACAAAGGGCAATCCTTTTCCCATGGACTAAGATCTACACAGCTACAGTATTATACCTAGAGTTTGTCTCCCTAGTAACCACCATCTGTATTTCTTAACATCCCTACTAATTAGCCCGTACATAAGAGGATCTACAGTTACTGTTTATTTTGGTAATCAGCTAGTCCCTGTAACTGGTCAGTAGAGTTGGTTATAACCTGATGCTAGTAAGGCCAAAGTTACTGCAGCCTCTGTCCCCTGTTGGCAAGTTATGCCCTCCTCACCTTAGCAATCTAATTAAAAGATAGGAACAGGCAGACCGCATAGCAAACACCACTACCAGTGAAACCCAAAGCATGTCTGTACACCAGAGAGTCCTGGTAAAGGTGAGGTAGGAGCACAGGCCTCCAAGCCGAAGGTCGACACAGTCCCTGTGATGTGTTTATTTTTGTTTTGTAAGGCGTGATCTCTGGTCATGTGTATCTTCCTAACTTATTGGAAACGTTTGCTATTTCCAGGGACTCCTGCAAACAATCCTGAAAGGCCAGGTAGTGTCACAGGACATGAGAATTTGCCAGAGCTACACTTGGGTGCAACAGATGGAGCACACACGCCTGCCCCACATGTGTGCAACTTATCCATGGCTCACAGCTCTCTGCATTCAGTGGAAACATTCTATTACAAAAAAGATCTGAAGACAATGAAGAAAATGTGACCCAACAGCTCTGACCATGAACCCCTTCCATGCGGCCTGACACACATCTGGTTACTTCAGGGACTGCACCAGTCTGTGCAACCCAGCTACTACTGGAATGGGTGGACTGGACAACTGTCCCTTACTCAAATATGCTCAGTGACTTCACGCAGAGGGCACCACACAAAGGTGATGGAAACACAATTTCCCAAGTAGACCATGAATGATCGATTGCTGGCAAAAGCTGGAAGACCAGAGAAGAAACGGACATGGATGGTCAAAGAGGCCCAGGACAGGTCCCAGTGGACAGAGAAAGCCTGTGCAGGTCACTTCCTCCAACTGCTTAGGCTGGGAGCTCCTCACTTGGAAGGTGTGGGAGCTAGTCTGTCCCAAGCAAAACCCTAAGGCCTAGAAATGCACACAGAGTTCCCAAGACATGAACAGGCAGTAAGCAAGCACTTTCAGTTCCTCATAAAGAAAGCTGCTGTATAAATATAGGCCCTTATTACCACTATGATTTCAAGATTAAACACAGCTCTCCTTTGTGCGACAAATGCATTTTTATTGACATTTTGGCAGCAACCTGGTAAAAGAAAAGCAGGTGATCTGATGCTTTGAAAGCTATGACCTCAAAGGTATGAGGCAGTTTATCTAGGCAAGCTGTTAAGTGCTGTTTCTATCAAATACTCTGATAGCAGGAAATACTAAGAGACCTATAATTAATAGGCAGAGCCTGGCTTCCCTTTCTTGGCTCAGACTATTGTATTCACTTTAAATTTCATCCAGTTGCCACTGGGTATGTTGCAATCTTGAAATCGCAGGACTCCGTCAACACAGTAGCTAAAAGCTTGTTAAATGAGTAACCATATTATTGATGTCAATTCTTCTCCCAAGTGGGGGAAGCCTTTTCTAACTAGTCAGCTGATCCTGGCAACACCAGCACCCAAAGCACAATCGAGGCAAGAAAGGCCTTTCAGAAAAGGGCTAGGAAAGCCCAGTACCTTCCCAGTACCCCTCCTCTCTGGACAGGCCACTTTTTCAGATCTCAGGACTTCCAGTCACAGAGATACAAGTTTCAATGTGGAAAACAAGAACACTTACTTACCCATGTAGAGAATTCCATCTGAACTTCGGCATGGGGATGCCTGCACCAGCTCTGGGATGGTAAATGGAAGTTTCTTTAAAAAAAAAAAAAAAGGAAAAAATAACTTAACCAAGTCTTGTGCAACTATTTCATTTTTACTGGGCAGTCTGTTTCTGTTACCCAATTCTAATAAGAAAGAAACACTTGGCAGATGGGAGATTTCCTGATTGGAAACCGAGGACAAGGGGCACCTATGTCCCATCGCCCAGGTCCCTAAGCTCCTTAAACACCAACTCCTTTGTTTGACACCACACACGGAAGCCCCCCAAGGGCTCCTGTTCAGACCATTCCCCAGGGGTGACATTAACCTTTTCTGAACAGATTTACACAAATTTGGAAAACTGCACATTCTCTGAAAAAAAATCTTCTGTCTTGGAAAACGGACCCAGAACTGTCTAGACTGAACAGAAAGATGATGTTTCCTAGACTGGGAGGGAGGCAGAAGATTAACGTTGGAGAGACACAGCCATGGTGTCCAGCTCCATCCTCATGACCCCCGGCAACACAAGAGTTTGAGGTGGAAAAAGAAGTTTCGAGTTTTCTTCAGTAAATAATTCTCTCCTGAAAAGAATCATCGGGCCCTTTTGGTTTTAAAAAGGAAGTTGTGATAGGTGCCAGGAAAAGAAACTCAAAGGACTCCACAGGTTTCAACTGAATTTCATCATAAAACTGATTCTTCTGAGTGTGCAGCTGACATCTGACGGGTCCTTTTGGTTAATGTTCGTTTCAGTGCACTTTATTTTTGGAACATGCTGTGTTCTCGAAACTGTTCTCTAGATACCCGCTTTTCAGAAACTCCAGGCTTCTACCACACTGTCACCCTTTTCTTCGAGAAAGAAAATATTTTTCTCTAGCTTTAGTAAACTGAACTTTAAATACTAGTCCAGAATTTGGATTTTCTGGTCATCCCAACATTCAAACTAAGCCTTAAAGGAGGAAAAATGCCACAGAGAGGCTGTAATGACTGGTTTTTTGTCAGTTATTTCTGAGAATCAGAAAGTTGATGTAAGTCTCCTAGTCTGGAGTCCTGTGGTCCCTACTGGGCATTGCCATAGGTCTCCCGATTCAAGGCCCAGCTGGAAACACATAGTTTCCGGAGTTGCTAAACCAGGAAAGAGGGAGAAGTACAAGGTGGGGGTGAGCAGTACCCTTTAGAAGTCGGGGGTCTTTAAGGGCCAGTTCCAACCCTGGAATTCCCAGCCTTGAGCACAGTCCTTTACTGCTCCAGGCTTAATTTCCTCACCTCTGAAATAGGGCAGACACCTACGGAGCTACTGTGAGGTTCAGATGGGATAACTTAACACAGAACCTCAACGACGGTTCTGGCAAACAAAACGCTTAAGCAATGGTGGCCACAGTCATGTGGAGAGAAACGCTGGAATGAGGTACACACAGACCTACGCGGGCCTGTCCTCCCACCTGTCTCAGTCACAAGTATTCATAAAATAAGTTAGAAATCACCAAATTAGAGCCCACAATCTGCTGACTATCTGGACTAGCGGTTCTCATCCTTGGCTTTGTATCTGAATACCTGAAGGCTTTTATTTAAACTTTCTGCCGAAGCATAACACATACCAACAGAAAAGCGCTCATGATCACACGTGCATGCCGCTCACTCAGTTTCCATGAAGTGGACGCAGCCAGGTAACCAGTATCCAGATGAAGAAACAGAATATTTCTAGTGCTCTGGCAGGCCCCTTCTTACCCGTGGTTTGAGCCATACTTGTCCAGGTTAACTATTATCCTAACTGCAACACAGCACAGACCAGTCTTCCTGTTTTTGAGCTTTGTAGAAATGAATCATTTTGTGTGCAGCCTCGTGTGTCATGCTTTGCTCGCCATCCACGTTGCTGCGTGCAGTCCCAGGTTGCTAGCTTCCACTGCGGTGGAATACGCCGCCGCATGGCCAGTCCCCCATTTATTTGTCCTTCTACTATTGACGCTATTTTTCTTTGGTTATTATAAATGGTGCTGCGGTACATCTGAGTCTATGCCTTTGGGTGAACACACAAGCATTTCCGTGGGTCTGTAACCTGGGAGCGCGTTCCCGGGTCACGTGGACTTCAGTGCTCACTACCACAGCTTCCCAAACCAGCTGGTACTTCCACCACCAGGGGATGAGGGTTCTGGGTGCTCCATGTCCCCAGAAAATCGTGTTCTCTTTTTCTGTTTTTCTCATTTTAGCTATTCTGCTGAGTAGCATCATGGCATACTAGATAGCACTGTGTCAGTGCAATTTTAATTTGCATTTCCCTGATGACTAAGAAAGCTGAGCCCCTTCTTGTGTTTATCAGCCACATAAATAGACTCTTCTGTGATTTTTTATTGGCTTGTCCTTTTATTAATGATCCCTACGAGTTATTTACATATTCTAAATATGAATCTTTTGTTAGATATGTGTACTACAAATACTGTGTTCTCTCTCTCTTTTTTTTGGAGACAGAGCCTCAAGCCGTTGCCCTGGGTAGAGAGCCATGGCATCACAGCTCACAGCAACCTCCAACTCCTGGGCTCAAGCGATTCTCCTGCCTCAGCCTCCCAAGTACCTGGGACTACATGCGCTTGCCACAACACCCAGCTATTTTTTGGTTGCAGCTGTCACTGTTGTTTGGGGGCCTGGGCTGGATTCGAACCCACCATCTCATGTGTATGTGGCTGGCACCTTAGCCACTTGAGCCACAGGCACCAAGCCTATGGTCTCTCTTAATGAATCAAAGTTCTTAATTTTAGTATAGTCAATACATCAACTTTTTTTTTTTTTTCAGTTTTTGGCCACGGCTGGGTTTGATCCCACCACCTTTGACATATGGGGCCAGGGCCCTACTCCTTCGAGCCACAGGGGCCACCCAATACATCAACCATTTTAACCTAATTTATTTATTTATTTATTTATTTATTTTTGAGACAGAGCCTCAAGCTGTCCCCCTGGGTAGAGTGCCATGGCTTCACAGCTCAGAGCAACCTCCAACTCCTGGGCTCAAGTGAGTCTCCTGCCTCTGCCTCCCAAGTAGCTGGAACTACAGGCGCCTGCCACAATGCCTGGCCATTTTTTGGTTGCAGCCATCATTGTTGTTTGGCGGGCCCGGGCTGGGGATTCAAACCTGCCACCTTAGGTGTATGTGGCTGGCGCCTTAGCCGCTTGAGCCACAGGCGCCAAGCCTTAACCTAATTTATGTTTAGTGTATTTTTTTTTTCCCACATCCTGCTCTAGATATGAAATCTTTACCTACTCTAAGGTTGGAAAGATATTCTGCTACTTTTTTTTCTTAAAGCTTTGTTATTTTGCATGTCACAGTGAGACATGTAATCTATCTGGAACTAACCTGCGTATGAATGGCGGGAGTAGGAGTGAAGATTCTTTATTTTACACGCTATTCCAACAGACCTATGGAAAAGATCATCCTTCCCCCCTGCACTGCAGTGTCGCCTTTGTCATAAGTCAGGTCTATGTGTGGGCTAAGGTTAAACATCACAGGTCAAGCTTCTCAAATGGAGCTGAGAGTGGAGTACCACATGCCTCCCCCAAGGATGGTGGGGTGAGGACAGTGTTTCCAACTATACTCCTCCCTCCCAGATTGAGTGTCACACCAGGTGTGGTGGCTGGGAGGCTGAGATAGGAGATCTCTTGAGCTCAGGAGTTCAAGACCAATCTGAGCAAGAATAAGATCCTATCTCTACTAAAAATAGAAAAAATTAGCTGGGCATTGTAGTGGGCACCTGTAGTCCCAGCTATTTGGGACACTGAGTCAGGAACGTTGCCTGAGCCCAGGAATTTGAGGTTGCTATGAGCTATGATGACGCCATGGCACCCTAGCCGGGGGAACAGAATAAGACTCTGTCTCAAAAACAAGCAAACAAACAAACAAAAAATCAAATCAAGAGTCACTAGTTAGAGAAAGCTGTTACTAACAGAAGCATCATACCTTTCCACTGTGCCGACAAGGCCCCAAGAACCTGTGGTCTATGTCACTGTTTCCGAACTCTAGATACACAAGTAAAAGCTCTGAGAAGATACTGATGCCCAAGCCCCACTTTAAACTACCTGAATCAGAATCCCCAGAAGGTTTTTTAAAGCTCCCAGGTGATCTGAACATGCAGAAACAGTTAAAGACCACTGGTCTAGAACCTCTAGAATACACAAAGAAGCTACTTATACTTACTGTCAAACCTTCATTATTCTTGCCCCCAAGTGTGTATAGGCTGCCGTCATTGGGATCTGGGAGGAAGGCAGGCCTGGCAATTAAATAATAAGTATCAACGACAAATTGTAGCCCAGGGCACAGAACACAGTATCAAAGCCATGCAAAGCAGTGGTGGGAGGATGGAAAGCAAGGACTGGGGGGTGGCTACGCTTGTGTGTGCAAGATAATTCCACCCACTGCTCTCTGACTTCAGCCCCAGATTAATGAAATACCCCTATGGGGGTGCATATTACACTTGAGTGAAGAAAAACAACCTGCAAAGGTAAAATTATATGAAACCACAGAATAGTAAAGCATCATTTGGTCAAAACACTCTGGATGAAGATAAAATAAGTGAAAAGGACCCAGCAGGTCTACTTCTTGATTTTTATATCAATTGTGAATAGAACTTTAAGCCTAAACAGCACATTGAGACCTCATTTCTATAAAAAAATTAAAAAAAATTAGCGGAGTGTGATGGCACACACCCATAGTCCCTGCTAGTCAGGAGGCTGAGACAGGAGGATTACTGAGCCCAAGAATTTGAAGCTGCAGTGATCTGTGATTGTGTCTCTCTACTCTGGCCTGGGTGACAGCACAAGACTCTGTCTCAAAAAAAATAAAAATAAGAAAATTTAGTAGCATGGTAAGGTAGCTAAACAGGTAGAACAAAGCTACCTTTAGTTTTCATGAAACATTTATATTTTTAACTGGTGGCTTTGTGGACTCAGAGACTCCACCAAGGAGACAGATCAAGGTGCCTCCAGCAGCAGCAGCTTCCTGCAAGGCAGAGGTGACTCTGCCCAAGATGGAGCTATGACTCTGGTCATGTGGAAACTGCCTGCTGAATCTCTCCGCTATCTGGGATGTGCCATCATTTGAGGCTCTTACAGGTGTCCAACTTCTACTCCAACATACACGTTCTAGTAGCAGGCCACGTTTACCTTTTCTCTCCACAGAATGACATATCAAAGAGAGAGGTCCAGTCCTCCTGAGGACTTTGGAAGTTTTAAGTTCAAAACTCAAGTTCCATCTCAAGTCTGTTTAATGCCATGGCCTAGGATGGGCCCCTCATTGCACTGGGAAGACTTCACGGGTCTCATGCATTCTTTTTACACTTTAAACTTAAGCCCATTTGAGCATTCCCAGCAACCAGCCTCAGAAATACTGATTGAATATGAATTCAATCGATCAAATTGAAATATTGATTGAATCTGATTCAATCAATATTTGAACTAAGGGGCGTATTGAGCAAATTAGAAAACTTACTCTTCCACGTGTGTTGGGACCTGCAGGACCGGATCTGTGCAACAGAACGACAACAAAGGCATAGTTAGACGGACCCCAAAATGCCAGAGGCTTCCCAGGACCAAGTCACAGGCTGTACCAATAATGTAAGTTCACCCACATGGGATAATGTATATGAAGGTACTTTCGAAAACATAGACATGGGGACACAAAAGTAAGCTCTGTTGACTGTCACTGAGACTGGACAGGGAACTGAGAAGAACTGCTGTCAAGAAACTTGTGTGTGGCTTGGGGGACAGACAGAGAGGGACGAACAGTTGCTACCCACAGTGGACAAGGAATGACAGCATCACTATCTGACATTTCTAAAACCTAAATCCGTACCTAGGGTGGTACCACGTATTCCATGAAAAAAAGCAAAACTGGGACAAAAGAACTGATTCTGACTGGATGGTAAGCGCACACGCCTTCTGGACTAATATATGGCAATCGAGGGGTCACTACCTTTGATCTTGTTCACTGCAATTAAATAGTAAGTATCAGTGACAATCTAGTTTTATCTCTAAACTAGATTTCTAGTTTAGAGGCTCGGCGCCTGTGGCTCAAGCGGCTAAGGCGCCAGCCACATACACCTAAGGTGGCGGGTTCGAATCCCCAGCCCGGGCCCGCCAAACAACAATGATGGCTGCAACCAAAAAATGGCCAGGCACTGTGGTGGGCGCCTGTGGTCCCAGCTACTTGGGAGGCAGAGGCAAGAGGATCTGCTTGAGCCCAGGAGTTAGAGGTTGCTGTGAGCTGTGATGCCATGGCACTCTACCCAGGGGGATAGCTTGAGGCTCTGTCTCAAAAAAAAAAAAAATCTAGTTTAGAGATAAATTATAGAAAATCCTTTTTGTACAAAGACACAATACAAATGACTAATCCTTCAATAATATAGTCAAATTATTTCTGCCACTTAAACAGAAAATTAAGGCTTCTAAGATGGCTAATAAAGTGTTCACACATGTACAAGTCTTTATGCTATTATGTTCAGGAGGACAGACACACTGGCACTCTGGGAGGATGAGGGAGGAAAATCTTTGGAGCTCAGGAGTTTGATACCAGCCTGAGCAAGAGTGAGACCTTGTCGCTACAAAATAGAAAAATAAGCCAGGCATAGAAGAGCACTCCGTAGTGCCAGCTACTCAGGAGGCTGAGGCAAGAGGATCACTTGAGCCCAGGAGTTTGAGGTTGCTGTGCGCTGTGATGTCATGGCACTCTACCCAGGGTGACAGAACAAGACTCTATCTATCTCAAAAACAAATGAAAAACTGCAACCCCTGCCTCCCCCAGCCTTGTACATAGAGTATTAATATAATTATGGGGAAAACCTTCAAGGCATATGGAAAAAACCAAATGGAAAGACCAAAAATGCTAAGCGTTAAGTTATCTTTACTGGAAATATAAACGACTCTCCCACCTTTTTGATATCTCAAAATTTCTACACAAGCAAGCATTACTTTTTAAATTGGAGAAGTTATTTCTCAAAGCCAATTTTACACTTGCAACAGTTAGCAGCAGAATTTCTCTCTCCCTAGATTCTCCTGGGCACAAAGTGAGAGCGATCACCTGACCCCGGGGGCAGGTGGTGGTGGCACTGAGAAGGCAGGAACACTCACACAGCAGCACTGTGAGGTGACAGATCTAAAGCCCACAGGCATGAGACTCACAGCGATAAGCTAGTTCCAGCAATCAAAACCCTACAGGCTACACAGCCCCTCTGTACACAACCTGGGGTGGGGGGAAGGACGGCAAATATTCTCCTACGATTTTGTATGCAGAGTTCCAGATTCTGTGGGCTCTGCTAATAGTGACAGACATTTGTCCAACCCTCCCGGTCACTCAGGATTCGCAGATGAAGGAAAACCTTTCCAGCCTGGCCATATGTTGACTCTGCTTTCAGAGCCCAGCTCCCTCCCGCACAGAGGCCTACGGAGTTCACCACCACAGAAGTACACACGCCATATGTGGTCTGTGGGCAGCAAACAAACAATTCACTAAACCAAAAACACTTTAGGAAACAGGAAGAACTTTCAGTTGGTGAGCATATGTTTATCTTTCCCATTAATCACCTCTCGGTACACTCTCACAAACAGACTGATGCAAGAGACAGGAAATAAAGGCGCACAACACCGTCCCACTGAAACACCAGCCAGTCGAGGTGCAATTAGCCCAGTTACCTCGGCGCAGCCCTCAAGCCACGCAAGCCAGGAAGAGCAAATGGCATATTCCAAAGAAACTCAGCAGTAAAAACGGCCCTTCCCCCCCCACCCCCATTTCAGCCACTTAAGGGTATCAGGGATAAATGTAGATTAAGAGGACATGGCCGGGTTCCAGCAATTCACCAGAAACAAGACTAACATGACTAACATGACTTAAACTCCCATCCATAACCGGGTCCCTGCTGTACAGCGCTGCTCAGTCTCCTGGACTCGCCTTCAGAGGCAGACTTCCCTGGTGTTCTGTCTTATCCTCGGGTCACCAACACTGAGGCCTCAGGTCCCAACATGTACCCTCACCAGAAAGGCTGCAGCTAAGATGCAGGACATGAGCAGGGGACAGGAAGGGAGTCCTGGGACAGATAGACACATCAGTGTTTAAGAACTATGATTTTTTCCCAGGCTTAGGAGGAGATAAACTCCAGCTGGAGGATCTTACGGTCATCTTAGCTCTCTCTCCACTAAGTGAGGTGCCTGGAATGAACTTCTGCAAAGCTGCAGGCTCGGGAAAAGCAGAGCTCTTAGGACACCTTGGACAGGGGCAGGCAAGTGGCTGCTCCACTCCAGAGTAGGTGGGTTGGGTTTTCTTTTCTTAAAAGAATCATTTGAATCCAAGGTTTGCTTTATAATACTACAGAAGGCGGGGTAGGGATGGTGCAGATAGGCCGTCTGCCCATAACTGTTAAAGATGAAAAACTGGGAAGGGGAGGATTCATTTTATTATTCTCTGTACACATACTTGAAATTTCCCATGTTGACAAAGGCTAAAAGATAAACATCTCTGGAAAGCCAGCAGCAAAATGCAAACAAAAAGCATCATCTGAAAATGAGCAATGAAAGGGCGACGTGAAAAAGTGGTTCTTGGGCAGTGCCTGTGGCTCATGGAGTAGGGCGCCGGCCCCATATATCAGAGGTGGCAGGTTCAAACCTGGCCCCAGCCAAAAAAGAAAAAGTGGTTCTTTTGGTTTCATAATGAGAACCAAGAGGCTATCAGGAAAAATTCTTGCTTAAAAAGAAAGCCTTCAGCCCTGTGAAAAGACCCACTGGCCTGCCTACAGGGCTATAAACCAAAGCTGCTGTGAAAGCAGCCACTCTATCTACACGGGCCTCAGAAAGACTAAAGCCAATCTCCCCAAGTTGTATTACTTTCAGGAAAAAGGGAGGGAGGGTTCTGTCACTAGCATAAAAGTGTTTGTCATTCAAGGTAAAGGTGAAGTTATGGGTAAAGATATGGGAGGTCTCTTGGGATTAACACGGGCAGAAGCAAACCAGCTCACTGTTCCCGGGGAGCAGCTGCAGGCCTCCATGCCACACCTCCTGCCCCTGGAGAAACTGAGGTTCTGGTGGGGTCAGGAGACACTCATTGCTGTTGTGCTGTGCTAACCTAATCCCTCTTTTCAAGGCTGAGACAGGTGACAAGACAAATGTGCTAGTCCCTTAGGCTAAAATTTTAAACATTTCTATCCCCCAAAGCAGTGAATTTATGTCCCCATTCCCTTCTCTAACACAGGGAGAAAAAATTCCACCTTCTCCTCCTGATAGCAGATCCATCTTTGTAACTTCAACCATAATCACAGTGGGCTGATTCCAGGCCCTGTCCCAAGGCCCCCACCAGCACCTTGACCTTCACTTGCCCAAGCCAGCCCTCCACCTTTTACCTCCCAACACTACCAGCATTCTCCTAGAAGACAGCCAACCCGGGGAGATTGGCTTTTATCTTTCTGAGTCCCTAGCAGATGGAGTGGCTTCTTTTCATAACAATCAAATAATCGAAATTTCTACACACCTATTTCTCCCGAACATGTATGTGCCACTGGTCACCAAACTTTGGTCAATTTCGATGACAATCATTGTCACATGTCCACTCCCTCCAATGTCATTGAAATCCTTTGTCCTTCAAGCCCTCCCTCTTCTCCCTGTCTGTGTGGCTTTTAGAATCAGACAGAGCTAGGCTTAAATTCTGGCTCTGCCAACCACCGGCTGAGGGACTTTGGCAAAGTTATTCAATCTCTCTGAGCCTCAATTTCCTCATCAGTAAAGAAAAAAAATAGGGTGACGTCTGTGGCTTAAAGGGGTAGAGCACCAGCCCCATATGCCGACGGTGGTAGGTTCAAACCCAGCCCCAGCCAAAAAAAAAAAAAAAATGCAAAAAAAAAAATAGAGACAATAACACCTACCTCTTGGAATGTCTCTACATGAATCAAATAAGGATGAAATGTTTTGGCAAGACCTTAAGTAGGTACCTTGACAGAGACGAGTAATCCTTTCAAAGGCACAAATCGGATTATACTTACTGCCACTCAAAATCTGTGGTGGCTCCTTGTCTCATACAGTGGCCCATAAACCCCTCACACCCCCCTCTCATCCTGTCACCCTCTAACAACCTCCCACTAAGTCTTCTGCCCTTTATCTCAGCCACACCAGCCTCCCGGTATCCAAACGCTGCCAAGCCTGCCCCTGCCTCGGGCCCTTGTATTTGCTGCTACTCTGCCTGGGTATCTGATCAAATGTCAGCATCTCAGAGAGGTCTTCCACGGCCACATCCTGCTCCCCAGGACTTCCTGCCCCTCTTCTCCTTGCTTAATTTCTCTCCCTGTCACTCACCACCTCTGAAGTCCTGTATGTTTTATCATTTGTTGGATGTTTGAGTCCACCTACTGTAAGCGCCGTGAGGGCTGGGGTTTATCTTCTGTTGCCTGCTATACTTCTAGGATCTAAAACAGTTCCTGGCACACAGGAGGCACTCGACGCATTATGTTGCTATGAAAGAATTCCTGAGGCTGGTGATTTATAAAGA